TGAATTTCTTTTGGAAGTAATATTTTGTTTTTTTTCCCAAGCTGCTTTCAGGATTCTTTCCTTGTTGTAGACTTTGGAGAGTTTGATCATGATATGTCTTGGTGATTTTCTTTTGGGGTCAGTCCTGCCTGGGGTTCATTCAGTGTCTCAAATGCGTGTCTTCTCATCTTTCATGATGTTAGGGAAATGTTCTTCTAGCAGTTCTTTGATTATTTTTTTTTTTGTGTTTTTCTTTGTCTTTTTCCTGTTCTTGAATTCCAGTTACCCGTAAATTATTCCTCTTCATGTCGTCTCATATTAATCTTAGGCTTTCTTTGGATTTTTTTCTTTTTGTTCTTCTAGCTTCCTAGTATTGAGGGATTTATCTTCAAGATCACTAATTCTGACATCCATTGATTTAAATCTATTCCTTTTCCCTTTCAGTGTATTTTAAATTTCTGATATCTTAGTATTAATCCTCTGGATTTCTGCTTGCAGGTTTTGTATTATCTCCAATTCTTTATTTACTTAGGTTTTGTGTTCCTGCAGTGCTTTTTGGAATTCTTCCTTTTTTTCCTTGATCTTTGTGTCAATAGTTTTGTTGTTGTTAAGTGCCAATGAGTTGGTTCTGATCCATATTCTTATATATATATTTTTTTCAGGTTGTTCCAGTGCCTCTTTTTCCTTAAAACATTTTCTAGCTCTGCCTCTTGGTCATTTGTTTGAGCTACTTTGTCTTGTTTCTTCATATGAAATGAAATTTTCTGTAGCTTTTGAGGCATTGTGGTGCTATTGTATTTCTATTAAGTTGGTGTATTCTTTGGCACTCACCAACTGCCTTTTGGTGGATGTGATCAAGAGATTAGCTTGTGTACCATTCTTTGTTCACTGTTCAAGCAGTTCATTTCGGAATGGATTTAGCTGACATTGGTTGTTGTCATTGATCCAGTGTATTGACTGGATCCAGCTGGTATTGACTCTAGCCCAATTGGGAGTGTTGTGGAGGAACAGCTGTGGCTGGGCTGTATGATTGCAGTTGTCATCTCCTGTTATGTGAGGCAAGAAAAAAAAAGACTCCCAAAAGAGAGAAGGCAAAGAGACAAAAATCCCAGGACAGCAAAGCGGAAAAGTAAAAAAGTAATTAAGAAAGAAAAACAAAAACAAACATTGGCTACTGCTTTTTATCTCCATCAATAAGCACAGTGTTTCTGCACCACCTACAAGCCTCTTGCTTTCACAGCTGCCCAAGAAATTTCAAGATGGCCCTACTGCCCTTCTCTTACCCACATATATAGCCAGTCTCCCCCCACCCCCCACCTTTTCTACCCAATGCATCCATTCAGCTGCTTCTCCTAATGAGAACTACCCCAGGGCTGACCAGGACCAACTTTACAGATTTGGAGCAGGGCCTGCCCAAGTGGGGCTATTGCGCCTGGCTCCTCCTTCTTCAGTGGTGCCCACCACCTTGGGATCTGAGCAGTTCTACCCACCTGGAAAGCATGACTTTCCCTGGGAGTGTTCACTGGTGGAGGCCAGCCTCATTTCTGGTCACCAGGAGAATGTGAGGAACCAGACAGGAAAAGAGAAAAAACAACAACAAAAAACCACATTTATCTCTGCAAATTATGGATTGGTTTCTACAATAGTAATTTGTTTCCTTGTCTCTTAAGCCACTCACCTTCACTCCATACAGTTGAAACAGGTCCTGTTGTCTTCCACAAATCATAAGTCCACTCCTTTCTTGCCACATCTCTTCAATTGTCTCTTCCAGTAAGCACCAAGCTACGTATTTATCCCTTTATCTGAAGCTTATATTTCCAGGACTATCCTCTGCATGTGTCTTGCTGGGTTTCTAAATCCTTGTTGTAAAGTGTCCTCACAGTCTTTCTGCCTAAACTACCATCTTGCCCCATCCTCTTTTTGATCTATTTTGAGTTAGTTTTTGTATATGGTATGAGGTATAAGTCTTGTTTTGTTTTTCTATAGATAAACATCTAATTTTGAAAGCACCATTTGTTACAGAAGCAGTTTCTTTCCCATTTAATGGACTTTGGCTCCTTGCTGAATATCAGCTGTCCATAGGAGGATGGATTGACATCTGAATTCCCAGTTTTGTTCCAAGTGTCTGCCTTTGTATCAGTATTAGACTGCTCTGGAAATTGTAGTTGCCCACTAGAACACTAGAGGCTGAGCTGCTAGTTCTCCTGGTGCAATGGCTAGAGCGACTAGGAGCCACTGCTCTGCTTTATCTTAATATGACTGCATTGTGCAGATTTGACTGGTATGGTACATTGTTGTTGTTGTTGCTATTGTTGTTAAGTGCCATTGAGTCAGTTCTGACTCATAGTGACCCTGTATAGGGTTTTCAAGGAATGACTGATGGATTTGAATCACCAGCCTTGTGGTTCAAACCAACCTGGCAATCCTAGAGAACGGTAATTTGCCTTGTCTGCTGTTTCTTTTCAGCCTCTCCTACTTGGCACTTGGTCCAATTCTTCTCCTTTGTCTTTGATGCTTAGGTTCCAAAGTTGTCATCTGTATCTGATTCCCTTGCTTTTATCTTTGCTATAAAATGGACATTATAAGGCATCTTGGACCATCTGTAAGGACTACATTTTACTTGGATCCACAATAAACGTTCATAGAAGTAACAGTCAAGAAATCGAAGGACACACAAATCGGCTGCAAAAGACCACTTGGGTGTGGCAAAGATGACATTTTCAGGAGCAAGATGCTCCTAACCGAAACCACGGTATTTTCAATAACTTCATATGCATGTAAAAGCTGAACAGTGAATAAGGAAGACTAAAGGAGAGAAGACACCTCTGAATTATGGTGTTGGCAAAGAATATTGATTATATCATGGACTTCCAAAGGAATCAACAAATATGTCTTGTAAGAAATACAACCAGAATGCTCCTCAGTAGCAAGGATGGTAAGACATCATTTCACATACTTTGAGCATGTTATCAGGAGAAACCAATCTCTGAAGAAGGTCACACATTTGGTGTCTTAGGCTGTTTTCTAGAGAAGCAAAACTAGTTTTATATATATATATATGGAAAGAAGTTTATTATTAAGGAAATGGCTTACAATTTTGGAATTCCAGGTCCCCAGCAGAAGAGAGAGTGAGAAAGTCTTTCCTGCATGTCCATTATATTGGGAGTAGGCCACACTCCTAGGAAACATCCCTTCTGTTGATTAGCTGCTCATAGCCAATCACCATAGAGTGAACTATGCCTGTATTAGGTTTAATCACCATGGGAATAAGTACATCTCAACTTCTAAACCTCTGGAAATACTGTTCTAGTCAAGTTGTCACCAAATCCTAACCATTACACTTGGTCAAGTAGAGTGTCAGCAAAATAGAGGAAGACCCTCAATGAGATGAATTGTCACAATGGCTGTAGTAATGGACTCAAACATAACAATTGTGAGGATGGTTCAGGACCAGGCAGAGTTCCATATATAGGTAATTATGAATCACAACCTACTTGAAAGCACTTAACCATAGCGCGCACACACACACACGTTGGTGGTGGTGTTAAGTGTTGTCGAGTTGGTTCCAACTCATAATGGCCCTGTATAGAGTGTCCAAGGAACAGTTGATGAACTTGAACTGCCAACCTTGTAGTTTAAACCTACCTTATAGTCCAGCACATTAATCCATAGTGCCACACCAGGAGTAGGAGACTTCAAAAAGGTTGAGGAAAAATGAAATTAAAAGATATTGAAAATTTCCACGAACTTTTTTTTTCATGTTTCCATGAACTTTTGAATCTCCCTTATATGCATGTTAAGTGCCATTGAGTTGGTTCTGACCCATAGCAACCCTGTATATGGTTCTCAAGGAGCAGCTGATGAGCTTGAACCACCAACCTTGCAGTTCAAATAGCTTTGCAGTCTGACGCATTAACCCACAGCACCACACCCAAACTCCCCTCAAATGCTTACCAATATCTAAATTACGTATTACAATTAAGTAAAGTCTGTCAGCAAACTATTATTACTGTACAGTATTCAAATATGCAGCAGGCAGTGATGCAAGGATGGTTCAATATTAGAAAAACTATCAAACATAATCCACCATATTAAAAAAACAACAACAACAAAAGAGTTACATGATTATACCAATTGATGCAGAAAAGGCATTTGACAAAATCCAACATCCATTCATGGTACAAAAGCTCAACAATGTATAAATTGAAGGGAAATTCTTCACCATAATTTTAGAGCATATATACAAATCCAACAGCCAACATTATCTTCAATGGAGGGAAACTGAAAACATTCCTTTGCAAACCGGAACAGACAAAGATGCACTTAATCACTATTCCTATTTAATATGGTGTTAGAAGCTTTAGCCAGAGCTATAAGGCAAGAAACGGAAATTAAAAGCATCCAAACTGCCAAAGAAGTAGTGAAACTCTATTTGCAGATGATATGATCCTATACATAGAAAATCCCAAAGATTCAGCAAGAAAACTATTGGAACTTATTGAAAAATTCAGCAAAGTGGCAGGGTACAAGATCAATATACAAAAATCAGTTGGATTTGTAGTCACTAATAAAGCCAGCTCTGAAAAGGAAATTAAGAATGCGATATGAATTGCAATAGCCACCCAAAAGATGAAATCTTAGAAATAAATCTAACTAGAGAAACAAAAGGCCTATACAAAGAAATCTACAAGACACTACTACAAGAAACTAAAAAGGGCTTTTAAACATGAAAGGATATACCCTGCTCATGAGTCAGAACCGACTCCACAGTACTTAACAACAACAATCACAGGGAAAAAGTATGAAAACTGTTGTTTGCATGGAGGGGATTCAAATTCTTGAGGTGAAACAAAGTACATGATTTGTTGAATGTAAAACTCATCATCTTGTCTGTAAACCATCACTCAATTCACAATAAAAAAATATGCAGCAAGAATAAGCTAAATAATAACATGAGACTTTGTTTCTAATTAATTCTAGGTTCATATATTGATTTTAATGTGTCTTTGTTCCCCCCACAGAAAACAATCAAACTTGTGGCTTTGTGGTATATCAAAATAACAAGCTTTTCCAATCAAAAGCTTTTAAAATTAAATCAGATTTTAGTCAAAAAATTATCTCAAGTACAACTGATGGGATTGAGAATGATCCGAATGTTTCTGTTGAAATGGTCTTTAATCCAAAGGTGAGTTTTCCCATTAACATAAAATTTAAAAACCTAGCCAGTTCTTGATTACAAAGGCAAGAGTATTTTAGGTAAAAGAAATCCAAGTAATTGTTGTAACCGTCTTTCTCCCCATGTCTTTTGTCAGACAAGGTGAAATTCAAAGTAATTGTTGTAACCGTCTTTCTCCCCATGTCTTTTGTCAGACAAGGTGAAAGCAACATGAACTCATTTGAATTTCATGTTTATTTCCCCTCTCTAAATCATCAGTAAAAGAAGTCCTGGTGGTCACATGGGTTAAGTGTTAGGCTACCAAGTACCAGGTAGGTGGTTCAAACACACAGGCCATTCCGTAGGAGAAAGATGAAGCTGTCTGCTCCCATAAAGATTTATTGTCTCAAATACCCTAGGAACATGTCTACTCAGTCCTGAAGTGTCACTATGTGTCAAAATCAACTCAGTTATAGTGGGTTTGGGTTTGGTTTTGGTTAATATATGATGACCACCACTTACCTGTCTGTTTGTTGGAGCCCTGGAGGTGTAGGATAAGCACTGGACTCGACTACTCACAAGGTAGTTGAGTTCAAATCCACCAGATGTTCCATGGGGAAAAGATGTGGATTTCTGATCCTGTTAAGATCTGCAGCCTTGGAAACCTGAGACAGCGTTGCTTTGAGTTAGAATCAACTTGATGGCAGTTGCTTTAAGTGGGTTGTACTGTGGCGGCTTGCATGTTTCTGTGATGCTAGAAGTTATGCTGCTAGTATTTCAGATAGCAGCAGGGCCACATATGGTAGATGGGCTTCAGCAGAGCTTCCAGACTAAGACAGGCTAGCAAGTAGAAATAGACAATTCACTTCTGAGAGAGTAGCCACTGAAAAGCTTATGAGTAGCCTGGGAACATTTTCTGATATAGTGCCGGAAGATAAAGTTGGAAGGCAGTAAAAATATGACTAGGCAAGATATGCTTCCTTAAAGTAAAGTCGAACTTAATGACCTGAAAGTAGCAAGATTTTCAGGACCTTAATTTACTGTTGGGGCATGACTCAAAATGAAAAGAAACAGCTTGCAAATGTTCATTAATAATCAGAATGAGGAATGTACAAAATTGGAAGTTATCAGCAATGAAATGGAACACAATAAAGATTGATACCTTAGGCATTAGTGAGCTAAAATGGATTGGTGCTGGTCATTTTGAGGCAGATAATCATATCATTTGTTATGCTGGGAATGACAAATTTAAGAGAAATGTCAAATTTATCATCAAAAAGAACATTTCAATACCTATCTGAAAGTGCAATGCTGTCTGTAATAGGATAATTATCTACAAGCCTACAAGCAAAGCCTGAAGTCCTAGTCTTATAGGATAAACAATGGGCTGCTAACTACAAGGTCAGTGATTCAAAACCACTATTGGGTCATCAGAAACCCTACACAGGGTTGCTATGAGTTGGAACCAACTCAATGGCACTTAACAACAACAATGCAGTAAGCAAGACCAGTTATTACACTCACATTCAAATGTATACAACAATCATTAAAGCCAAAGATGAATAAATTGAAGAATTCTACCAAATTCTCCAGTCTGAAATGATCAAACATGCAATCAAGATGCACTGATAATTACTGGTGATCAGAAAAAGAGTAAGGATCAGTAGTTGGAAAATCGGTAGGTTGGTGATAGAAATTTAACTGGAGATTACATGATAGAATTTTGCAAGACCAACAGTTTCTTCATTTCAAACACCTTTCTTTGGAAACATAAATGGCGACTATACAAGTGCATCTTACCTAATGGAATAGGTAAGATCAGACTGACTACATCTGTACTAAGAGACCAAAAGGTCACCTGTGGAACAGACCATCAATTACTCATATGCAAATGCAGGCTGAAGCTGAAGAAAATGAAAGCATCCACAAGAGCCAAAATGTTACCATCTAGTCAATTTTGACTCATTGAGACTTTGCACAGCAGAACAAACACTGCCTGTTCCGATTCATCCTTGCAATTATTATGTTTGAACCCATTGTTGCTGCCACTGTGTCAATCCATATCACTGGGATCTTCCTCTTTTTTGTGACCTTCTACTTTACCAAGCATGATGTCCTTCTCCAGGGACTGTTTGCTCCTGATAATATGTCCAAAGTGTGAAGGAAGAAGTCTTGCAATCCTTGTCTCTAAGAGGCATTCTGACTGTACTTCTTCCAGATTTGTTTGTTCTTTGGGCAGTCCATTGTACTTTTAATATTTTTTGCCAACACCATGATTCAATAGCATAGATTCTTCTTCAATCTTCCTTATTTATTGTCCAACTTTCACATGCATGAGGCAACTGAAAATACCATGGCTCTTTTAACACTTCAAAGAGGTCTTTTGCAGCAGACTTGCCTGAGGGAATATGTCATTTGATTTCTTGACGACTACATCCATGAGCATTGATTATGGATCCAAGCAAAATGAAGTCTTGACAACTTCAATCCTTTCTCTATTTAGCATAATATTATTTATTGGTCCAGTTGTGAGGATTTTTTTTTTCTCTTATCACTGAGGCACAAACCATACTAAAGGCTGTAGTTTTAGATCTTCACTAAATATTTCTAGTCTTTACTTCTAGCTAGCAAGGTTGTGTCATCTGCATATCTCAGGTTGTTCTGAATATCTTCCTCTAATCCTGATGCCATATTATATAGTTCATATAATCCAGCTTTTAATATTATTTGCTCAGTATACAGATTGAATAAGTATAGTGAAAGGATACAAACCTGGTGTCTACCTTTCCTGATTTTAAGCCTTTCAGTATCCCCTTGTTTTGTTCAAACAACTGCCTCTTGGTCTATGTATATTGGTGGTGGTGGTGGTGATTATGTGCTGTAGAGTCACTTCTGATTTATAGTGACCCTGTATACAGTTTCCAAGGCTGTAAATCTTTACAGGATCAGAAAGCCTAATCTTTCTCCCACGGAACAGCTGGTAGTTTCGAATTGCTCTCCTTCAGGTTAGCAGCCTCACTCAACCTGCAATATGCAGATGATTCAACCTTGCTTGCTGGAAGTGAAGTGGACTTGTGGAACTTGATGATAAATATCAAAGACTGTAACCTTCAGTATGGATTACAGTTCAATGTAAAGAAAACCCAATCTTCACAACTAGACCAATAAGTAATGTCATGATAAATGGAGAAAGATGAAATTTGTCAAGGATTTCTTTTTACTTCAATCCAATCCAGCACATGGAAGCAGCAGTCAAAAATCAAAAGATGCATTGCATTAGGCAGATTTTCTGCAAAAGGCCTCTTTAAGATGTCTTTAAAATATGTCACTTTGAGGACTAAGGTGCCCCAAGACCAAGCCATGGTATTTTCAATTGCCACATATGGGTGCAAAAGGTGGGTAATGAGTAAGAAAGACCAAAGAATTGATTAATGTGAATTATGCTAGTTATGAGGAATATTGAAAGTACCATGGACTGCCTGAATAACAAACAAATCTATCTTTGAAGAAGTACAGCCAGAATGCTCCTTGGAAGCAGGGAATGGCAAGATTTTGTCTCATGTACTTAGCACATGTTATCAGGAAGGTCCAGTCCCTGGAAAATGCTAAGTAAAGTTGTTGTTGTTGTTGTTTTTAAGTGCCGTCAGGTTGGTTCCGACCCATAGCAACACTAAACAGGGTTTCTGAGGCTGTAAATCTTTACGGGAGCAGAAAGCCTCATGTTTCTCCCATGGAGCAGATGGTAGTTTTGAACTGCTGACCTCGCAGTTCGCAGCCCGATTCATAACCACTACGTAAGCACTACCAGAGCTGAAAAAGAGCAAGACCCTCAAAGAGGTAGATTGACACACTAGTTATAACAATGGGCTCAAACATAACAGACAATTATGAGGATGGGGGAGGACTGGGAAATGTTTTGTTCTGTTGTTCATAGGGTCGCTGTGAGTCAGAAACTACTCCATGTCACCTAACAACAAGAACAGCAATCTATGATAAAGGTGCTAATATCTAGTAAATATCTAGTAAATGCTTAATTGATTTCTTATACACTTATCCTTTTTTTTTTTTTTCTATCCAATTAAGCATTTGAAAAATCAGTAATTGTAGTTGTCTTATCAATTCACAGTACGATCTGAGAAAATTCCAACTCCATTCCTACGCCTGTGTCTTTTGGAATCTTAAAAAGAATGACTGGGACACACATGGTTGTCAGAAAAAGGAACTTTCTGATGACAGGTTCCTACACTGCAGCTGCAACCACACTACTAATTTTGCTGTATTGATGGTAAGCATTACAGTAGTTTCTACTCAGACAAGAACCTGTTTTTATACACAATTTTCATATGTGCTAAAATCGGAGATAACTTTGGGGTTTAAATTACATACCCAACTTTTTGGGTTAAGTAGAGAAACAGAGATGGAGTAATAGGGAGACTGAAGGGAAAGGCAAGTAGAATAAGTTTTTTGCAATGTTTTAGGAAAGATGAGCTCAGTGCTGTGGTGCTTAATAATGGGAAGGGAGCTAATAAGAGAAAGAAGGGCTTAGAGAATCCATTTGACTAACTTTCATGTTCTGAAGCATGAAGTTGTAGCCAGAATTAAGGGTGGCTGTGTGCTGGGAATAATACTAAGCTATATGTGAGCACTCTAAATCAATTACCCAAAGCTTTTCCCACTGAAATTGCCTGAAATACTTAGTTTATTCTAGACAATATAAGAGGGAAAACTTTAAATTCATTGTTTGCTCTATAGTTCTTCTATATACTCACAAATTCCTTAATTCTCTAAGTCCAAAGTTAGTCCAAGTAACTGATAGTGCAGGAAAACTGACAGTTTTCCCTGGTGTGCAGCTATGGAAGCATAGAGCTGTATCTGTGTCTCTGAAACTTCTCGCTGGTTTTTTTAAGGGCCTTCTGTATTTTCCATTTCCAGAAACCTATTATTCTGGTGCAATAAAAAAATATTCAATTATATACTTAATGGAACTGTTTTCCTAGGAAACGAGATGGGGAGAGATGTAGAGTGTTTTCTCTTTATAAAGTGGCTATTACAATAGTCAAAACAGCCTGGTATTGGTATAATGACAGACATGTAGATCAATGGAACAAAACTGAGATCGAGAGGTAGAGTCATCTGCCTATGGACATATGATCTTTGATAAAGGACCCAAATTTATATAGTCTCCAACAAATGGTGCTGGCAAAACTGGACATCCATTTGTAGAAAAATTAAGTAGGCTGCATATCTCTCACCATATACAAAAACTAACTCAAGATGAATCAAAGACCTAAATGTAAAACCTAAAACTGTCACCAGAGAAAAACTAGGGAAAAACAAGGAGCCCAAATTCATGGCATAAATGCGTTATCAAACATAAATTAAAAATGAACAAACAGCAGAAGACAAGCTAACTGACTCGGACTTCCTAAAAATTAGATGTTGTTGTTAAGCAATGTCAAATTGATTCCGACCCAACGTGACCCTGTATAGGGTTTCTGAGGAGCGATTGGTGAGCTTGAACCACCAACCTTGTGGTTCAAATTAACTTTGCACTCCAGCACATTAACCCACAGTGCCACACAGGACGTGTATGTGCAATCCTCACAATGTAACAGCACACTTTCTACTTCTGCCCTGTGTTTACCATTTCCATCCCTATGACTGTTGCTAAATTTTATCCCTTTTTGGTCTCATGTGGTTGGTTATTGAGTGGTGTAAAATTGTAACCATTTTAAAAATCAGAAAACACAGACAAGCGAAAAAAATTACATAAATGCTAACCATCCATTTAACACAATTACTACCTTTCCAGAATATTTTCTAAGAATTTGTACTCTTAGAATATGAAACCTGATGGTGCTGTGAGTTAGGCAATGAACTATTAACCACAAGGTCATCAGTTCAAAGATACCAACCGCTGTGATGGAGGAAGATGAGTCTGACTGTTCCCATAAAGATTTACCATCTTCAAAACCCTGTTGGGCAGTTCTACTCTGTTCTAGAGAGTCACTATGAGTCAAAAGCAACTTGATGGCAGTGTGTGGGTATAGTATATACAAGAATAGTGGGATAAATCCCACCAAACTCACTGTCATTGAGTAGATTCTATCTCATGGCAATTGCATGTAGGATTTCTGAGACAGTAGATCTTTATGGAAAAATACAGCCTCATAGTTCTCCTGCAGAGTGACTGGTGGGTTTGAACCCCACTATTCTTGCCTCTAGCAACCCAATACCTAGCCAGCAGTGTCACAAGAGCTCCTTGCATGGTGAGATAGATACAATTATATTACAGAAAAATGCACCCCATTAAAAAACTGAAAATCTTTCAATTTCTATGAGTATATTTCTGCAACTATGTTTTTAATTTAAATATGCAGGCTTTCCCTTAGACCATAGTTACACTTGGAAATAATGTAATGGATAAATGAAACAAATTAGCCAGTTTCAGCTAATCCTAACATCTTTGATTTTTGGACATTAAGGAAAAGTCCATATATTTTTCCATAATTTAATTAGTTAATTATTTTTCCCCACTAAATTCCTTCAGCTGTTATTATTTTCTCATCTTTAAATGACTTTACTACATGTAAACTGCTTAGAAATGAGGGATTAAGTAAATATCATTTACAAATCTGAGCATATCAACAGCTTTACAAAAAAGAGAGACATCTGGCAACTTTTTGCTTACTTTGACCTGTGCTACCTCCTGGGGCAGCGCTGTAGGATAAGCACTGGCCTGATAACCATAAGGTCTGCAGTTCAAATCCACCAGCCACTCCCCAGAAGCCCTATATAGTGTCATTATGAGTCAAAACCAACTTGATAGCACTTAACAACAACATTTCTTCATGGGGAGTCCCTTGATGGTATAACAGCTAATGCACTCAGCTACTAACTTGAAAGGAGTCCTAGTGTGGCATTGGAAGATAAGCACTGGACCGCAAGGTAGATTTGAACTACATGGTCAGTGATTCAAATTCACCAGCCACTCCTGGGAAACCCTATACAGGGTTGCTATGAGTCGTAACTGAACAATGGCAACAACTAACAGAAAGGTTGAAGACTAATCCATCTAGAGGCACCTTGGAAGAAAGTCCTAGCGATCTACTTAGAAAATTCAATCGTTGAATACCCAGTGGAACATATTCTGGTCTGATACACATAGAGTCACCTTAACGGTAACTGGTTTAGATTTTTTTATTTTGTTTTGTGTTTTGGTGAAGGTGGGTGGTGGTTTGTAGCTCTTGATGATGCTGGCTTTCATAGACATTTCAGGAATTATTATTTAAAAATATAAATCTTAATTTCTTTTTCAGAGTTTCAAAAAGAACTATAACTATCCTAAATCACTAGACATACTATCCAATATTGGCTGTGCACTGTCCATCAGTGGTCTGGCTCTCACAATTACATTTCAGGTTGTCACCAGGTAAGAGAGGAAATAAGCTCTTCTCCTTAGAAAAATTGCTATGCTGATCTAACTTTATTCTTAGCATGTACAGTCTTTCAAAACTAGTAGGGAAATCAGAAAATTAGTTTAGTGTGCTCATTTTACAAAGGAGGAAACTCAGGCTCCTAGAGGCTAATAAATTTGCTTTAAGGTCTCATAATGTTTCAATATTGAATAGAACCATGCCTACAAATTTGCTTTCCTAAGATGAAAAAAAAAAAAGCTAATAAACAGGGACATTTTGAAAATAAAATTAACTTTTAAAAATATGCAAGGTTGTTACATGATGAAATGGGCTGAAGGTCCACTTTTGTATCTCATTGTTATTTTTTGTCACATGCTACATTTTTAGCTATCTATAATGCCTTAGATCTTATTTATTAGTTTCATTGCTTATTGTCTATTTCTCCAACAGCATGAAAATTTAAGAGGACAAGTACTTCCTTAGACTTTGTTGTTTCCATTGTTATTTGCCTTGTTTTGTTTTGATCACTGTATCCATAGAATTGAGCACAGTACATGACCCATTAAAAACTAAACTAAACCCACTGCCATTGAGTCTATTCTGACATATAGCAATCCTACAGGACAGAGTAGAATTGCTACTTAGGTTTTCTGAGTCTGCAAATCTTTACAGGAGCAGACAACCTCATCTTTCTCCAGAGGAAAGACTGATGGGTTTGAACCACCAAACTTTCAGTTAGCCCAATGCATAACCCACTGTACCACTAGGGTTCCCACCTGGCCCATAGTTAAGGAATATTGGTGGTAAAAATGGAATTATGCTCTTTTACCTGCCTCCCCCCTTAAGTTCAAAATGTCTCAAGAATGTATATTTCCTTCAGAATTATCTCTTGCCACTAAATTCCTTCACAACTCTATTCTCAGATTTGTAGAGACAAGATTTATTTATGTATTTGAAGAAATATTGCTTTTGAAAAATTTTTTTCCAAAGTTCTCTTTTGAGAAATTAAAAACCTATAGAGAAGTTGAAAGAAAAGCACACTGAACACCATTATTCCCTTCATCTAGATTCACAAGTTATTAATATTTTACCCTTTGTTGTTGTTGTTGTTAAGTGCCGTCGAGTCGGTTCCGACCCATAGCGACCCTGTACAGGGTTTCCGAGGGTGTAAATCCTTACGGGAGTAGAAAGCCTCATCTTTCTCCCGCGGAGCGGCTGGTAGTTTCGAACCGCTGACCTTAAGGTTCGCAGCCCGATTCGTAACCACTATGCTACCAGAGCTTTATCTATTTTTTTCCTGAAATTGTGTAAGTATGTTGCAAGCATCATGACTGTTATCATTAAAATTTCAAGCATGTTTCTCCTGAGAATAGGGACATTCTCCTACATAGTGTAAAACACTGTTATCCCTGCTCAAGAACTATAACTCAAGAAATTCAACATTAATAAAAAAAAAGTCATCATGTTAGTATATTATCCATATTCATATTTTTCCAGTAGTCACAGAAATGCCCTTTATGATTACTTTGTTTGTTTTTAACATATTTGGTTGCCCTGTTTCTTTATTGGTGCTGTAGGATAATCCCTGAACTACTAACCACAAGGTTGGCAGTTCAAATCCACCAGCTGTTCCTTGGAAACCCTATACAGGTTCACTATTAGTTGGAATTGACTCAACAACACTGAACAACAACAGTTTAGAATAATTCATCTGTCTTTTTTGTTTGTGTGTTTTGGGTCTTTCATGATATTGACATTTTTGAGGTGTGCAGTTCAGAAAGGAGGTTCACCAAGGATGCTGGAACAACTGAGTCTTTTTCCTTCTCATGCAGCCCAGTCCTCCTTCCCACTCCCCCTGTAGTTTCTTCAGCAGGATAGCAGGACTATTTACATGGTGGCTCAGAGCTTCCTAGAGCACCCAAGGGGAAGCTGCCACCTGTGCTGTGTGTCAATTTTCATGAGCACTGGAAACTTTTGCTTTTGTGAGACCCTTTATACGCACACACACACACACTCACACACATATACACAAAGGTTTAAAATTGATGTTTTATGACTGAATCAGTATAAAGATGAGTATAGTAATATTATATGTTAACTTTTTTTACCCAATAGTTCATTTTTTCCCCTCCTGATTGGAAACACAAGTAAAACATTTTTTAATGGGCCATTAAAGTATAATGAATCCTAAGCACTGTGCCTACTGTTTCTAATGGATAAGTTGGCTCTGGCTGCCCAGGACTTCTGCTGCATTATTAGTTACATCAAGACACAGACCAGCTCTGGGAAGGAACTACACAACACATAAATACTGGAAAATAGGATGCATTGGGGCCCGCCTTGGATATTAGCTATTACTTTTTATTGGAATAAAGTTTTATCTAGAACATATACCTCAGCCAGTTCTCTCTAGCTCACCTCTTTTTTGTGGAAATGAGGTAAGAAGTAATAAAAGTATGCTTTTCTAATATAATTGGGAAGGTAGATTTACCAGCTAACCCACTAGGCTCTGAGCTCTAGATTTCCATTGAATAGTAAGTATTTCTTTGTTCTTTCACAATTTCAATAGAGTTTATATTTTACAATTGTTTGATTATTTGATCTATGTACCTAGTGTGATGCTGTAGGATAAATACTGGCCACCTACCTTGGAAACCCAATAGAGGGACACTATGAGTTAAAACTGACTCAATATCACTTAATAACAAGCAACCATCCATTTATCTATCTGTAGGAAAGTGAGAAAAACCTCTGTAACCTGGGTGTTGGTCAATCTGTGCACATCAATGTTGATTTTCAACCTCCTCTTTGTGTTTGGAATTGAAAACTCCAATAAGAACTTAAAGATGAGTGATGAAGACACCAAAAATACTGATTCTGCTAATGAAATGATCAAAACAGACATTGTTGACATCCAGAATACAACGTGCACTGTTATGGCTGCTTTACTTCATTATTTTCTACTAGTGACATTCGCCTGGACTGGACTCAGTTCTGCCCAGCTCTATTTCCTTCTAATCTGGACCATGAAACCTCTTCCTCAACATTTCATTTTATTCATCTCTTTAATTGGATGGGGTAAGTGGCTGCTTCTCCACTTACACAGAAATTTAATTGTGTTGATATTATTTCATATAAACTAGCCCCTATAAGAGTATAAGGCTTTGAGGTTGGAGAGATAGAAAATACATGATCACTAGGAGTGCCAGCTGTCCAGTGAAGACGGCAGATGTGATCCTGGCAGCTAGGCTACACATATTGTAAGATAACCTAAACATGTTCATTTCTTCTAATATCTATTTTTATTAATTTGGTTTGAGATTTAGAGCACAATATAGGAGGGCCAGACTTCATCTCTCATACTTCGAACATATTGTCAGGAGGGACCTGTCAATAGAAAAGGATGTTATGTTTGGTAAAGTGGAGGGTCAGAGAAATAGAGGAAGACCCCCAGCGAAATGGATTGTCCAAGTGGCAGCATAAATGGGCTTAAGTGTGGCAACAATTGTGAGGTTGGCCCAGGACCTGGCAGTATTTCATTTTCTTGTGCCTAGGGTTGCTATGAGTTGGAACATACTCTATGGCACCTAACAACAGCAACAATGTTAAATTCCTAGTTACTTTTTAAGAATGTTTCAAAAAGGTAATCAGAGCATATCTTTAAGAAAAATAATTAGAAAATTGTATTGCATGCCAGGCAAGGAAGCTATTTTAGGAAGATGTTTTAGTGCTAAATTAAAATTTGAGTGAAAAGAGAAGTACACAATTTAAAAATGAAAATTGTTGTGATGTTTACAAAGAAATCTGAAATAGTATAGGGTGGTTATGTAGAACTAACATCAAAAGGAAGAGGAAAACACTTAGGGGAAAATTATGTTCACTGTTGACCTAAATCTTGAGGATCTTTTATCATATTATCCATGGTGTGAAGTACAATACACTCTGAAAAGGCTCAACTGTATAATTCATTCATGGTCTTTTATAATTAATCCCCAGTTTTTGGTAAATTATTAAGTCTTTCTCTCTCCTTATCATATAGGAGTCCCTGCTATTGTAGTGGGTATGACAATAGGAATTATCTATTCTCTGAATGAGGATGGTACACAATGGGAGTTCAGCTACCGGCAAGAATCAATGTGAGTTTGTATTATTTTAAAATGAAAATTTCTTGACTTAAGAGTGTAACTATTCAGTAATGAAGCAAGTGTCATTGCACATATACTTTATTTTGTAATTGTCATATTTAGTTGAGAGTATTTAAAATACTCGAAGAGCACATTACATTTTAAACGTGTTGACAAGGAAAATTTCCATGGTAATTCTGTTAGTTAAGTGAGTAATTACCTTTTAAATTTGTAAATCTGAACTTTTTAATATTAAATGTATCTTTTATTATGCCCAGAACTCAGATAACAGTCAAACATGATCCTTAGTAAACCCTTATTGTAGTTTTCTCATTTGATTTCTCAGTAAGGATAAAGACATTAGTAATAACCTGGGCTTACTTTGAGGAGTTAAATATGCATAAAACATTTCAAAAGTAGAAGAACAGTAGCTCTATATCTCACTTGTATGAACCAAGTCTATATTAATATGCTTTTAATGGATATTTCATGATGATTAATACACATAAATTCTTCCTGTGGTTCCAGTATGAATAATTAACTGTTAATACAAAAGCACCTGACTGTACGCTGTTTGCTTTTTGTTAGAAGTTGTTGTTGTAAAGTGCCATTGAGTCGATTCTGACCCATAGCGACCCTGTATAGGGTTTCCACGGAGCAGCTGTTTGTTAGAAGAGAGCATAGAAAATTGAGCTGAACTGAGGCCCAACTCTTCCATGTAGTTCTGCTACCAAATGGCAACTACTCTTGAATGCCCTCTTCCTTTCTCATTTTAAACACCCCAACTATTCTTAATCCCACATTTCACCTGATGTCCCAAACCAACCCAAATGTCAACAAAACTCTTGGAAATATGCAAGGCTATCCATATAAAGACTGTAGTGTTGCCAGGGTATTTATCTCTTTCCCAGGGCTTACCACCTGTAGAATAGAGGCCCCAGCCTGACTTGATTTCAGGAGCCAGATATTCTTAGGTACTGCTTTCTGTTAAATTATGACTAAATATCTTTTAATATGGTTCTAAAATTTTAATTTAGAGATAAGGTTAAGACAAGCAGAGATAAGGAGTGAGATGAAACTAACCCATAGGAGAAGTCTACTTCAAACTGCATTATTATTTTTCCACTTTAAAAATCGCGCTTGGTTAGACCCACTCCAATAAAAGCCTTCAGGAAAAAGAAACTTACTGACTTAAATGTATTCATACTGAGCTATAAATAATTGCGAACAGATCTTTTCATGCTGTTGAGTCAGCTCTGACTCATGGAGACCCTAGGTTCAACAGAACAACATGTTGTCTGGTTCAGTGCCATCTTCATGATTATTAGTGTATGCTTAAGTTCATTGTTGTAGCTTTTGGGTCAGTCCATATCATTGAAGGTTTGCCTCATTTTTGTTGAACCTCTATTTTACAAAGTATGATGTCCTTTTCTAGCATTGTCGTTGTTCTTAAGTGCTGTTGAGTCAGTTCTGACTCACAGCGACCCTGTGTAGGGTTTCCAAGAAATGGCAGGTACATTTGAAGTGCCCACCTTGTGGTTCAAACTGACCTTGCAGTCCAGTGCTTTATTCCATAATGGCACACCAAGACTCCTTTCTAGCAAACTTGGGAAGAAGAAAGAGAAGTAATCTTGGACTTTTATTCCCATACCTTCTACCTCCTTCTCTCTCATCTTCCACCCCTTTACCCTCACTTTTTTATCTTCCCTCTATCCTTTTCCAACTCTTCTCCCACCACCTTCCACCTTCTATTCCCTCCATTTCCCACTTTACACGCACGCACACACACATCAAGAGCCACATTTCTTTTGGATACATTGAGATAAAGTAACCCTGGAAGCACAATGCATTAAGCACTGGATTGCTAGTTGAAGGTCAACAGTTCAAACTTGCCAGTCAATTTGGGGAAGAAAGATGAGGCCGTCTGCTTCTGTAAAGAATTACAGTTTCAGAAACCCTATGAAGCAGTTCTATTCTGTCTTATAGGGTCTCTATGAGTTGGAATCTGCTTGTTGAGAGTATGCTTATGTTGAGATATATCCTGGATATCCTGGCTTTTTGCAGGAGTTACTCTTCAATAACCAGTGCTCTCCTCAGCTGCCCCCAAGTCTGCTAGTCTTACCTGAACCCTGGCCCAGGTCTCCTGTTGTATTGCTCTCTCTGTATGGGCCCAATTAAGGGGTACATGCAGGACTCCCCTTCAGTACTCTATCCCGGATTCTCTGTACCACCACTGTATAAGTTGTTTTCAAAATTTCCTGGAGGGTTGAGGCAACCATGGAAACATATAACATATAAAGGGAAAATATTTCAATTGTATGTTATATATACTAAAGCTATCAGAGCAAAAATCACTCTCCTGTTAAGCACCTCATCTAAGATCCGCCTATGTTGCTTTCCCAACCTCAGCACTGTAGCTATCAGATCAAGCTTGGCCCTATGACTTTCCAGTCTCATTTCCAGAAATCCCACTACACCTATAGGAACTGGTCACACTGCAGGATCCAGTCCACATCTTAGCAGTCTATTTCCTCAAATCTAAACAATTCCATTCAGAGTAACTACAGGGGAGGACATCATGGGGATAAATCCTGAATGACAGCCTCCAAGTGACTCAGAAGATAGTATGACAAGGCCCCTCCTACTGCACATTTCCTGATAGACATGGGTATCCAAGTTCACTTCATTACCAGCCTTCCTCATATGTTTGAGGTAACTGTAGAATCTTATAGACATACATATATGCACATATCCACACATCTCTGTAATGCCAGTAGTAATTCCCAGAAATTGTTTTTTTCTGAAGTTTTAATAACTCTAGTCTGATACAAATAAAGATAGCTATTTTTCTAATTGGCCCTGCAACAAGTCTGACTTTATCCGATAAAATCTGTATGTCATAAGTTATATATAAAAATGATATGATAGGTACCTCTGACTTCCTCTAACTTCATGAGGGGGAGAGAAAATCGCCATCAGCATCAGACCAAAGCTGATTCCTGTGAAGGAAGTTCAAACTTCTGAACAATTTGGAAACCTATTTTTTCTCCCATGGCACTCTCTACTTCTCTTCTGGATTCTATAATTCATTGCAATGGCCACACAGACCATATTAATAGTTACAGGGTTTATTAGGGAAGTAACAGAAACAACTTATTATACAAATCTAGATCAAGACAGCTTCTTCTCATCCTTTGCTGCTGGGCCCTGCTGGAGACCTTCTCAGGTAAGTGTTACAACTCTAGTTCCATGAATCAGCAGGTCTCACTGCAGCCTGGTCTTGGACCAGTCTTCTCGTTCCTGTTGTCTGGTGCTGCTGTATCTCTTGCTGTTTTTTGCCTCCATCTCTCACTGTCTTCTGTGTTAGAACTTCTCTTCTCCGGTGTCTAGGAAGTTCTCAGCACAGGAACCCTAGGTCTAAAGGACACGCTGTGCTCTAGGCTTTTCTTTCTTAATGGTAGTGAAGTGATGTTCCCCCCAGCTGCCACTGGAATGGCTCATTTTAAGTCTAGTGGGAAGGCAAAACAGATTAATTTATTCCTTAAAGTTCCACACACCTTATATGAATGGTGCTATTCACAAAAAGGTGCTGTGACCTAACTAATATTTGCATTATTAGCAAGGTATCCAATCCTCTTGGTGGGCCATAAGCACCTCATTTGCATAGTTCTGCCAAGTCAATTGGTGGAAGTCACAAGACCATGGTGAGAAAGGCCACATAAAAGCAATGTTTAGTTCTATGGTGCATGGGGTTGTTATGAGTTGGAACCTACTCAAAGGCACCTAGCAATAACATCCCACCACACTAAGATCATTCAGTCTCTTTATCTTTTCTCTCCCTTTAAATTGTAGTCCTCATAGCTACATGGTTAAGAACTGGGTTCATTTTTTTCCATTTATAAATTCTGGTGACCACCTGCTTAGCCACACAAAGAGGCTTCCAGAGTTTTAAAGTACTTCTCAGCAGGATTTCACTGAATTTTTAGTCAAGAGAGCTTCAATTGCTTACTTCTACAGGGTGGGAGGTTGGAGATGGTAGGAAAGCTAAAGATCTTATATCTGACCATTACATATGAAAGGAAAGTAGGTTTGACTTCTGAAGGTAGAATTGTTCTCATCATTTTATTTAATGGTGGGACTATTCTATGTGTTAATAGGATAGAGTGGCATCTTTTCACTTGCTCATTCATTAGAGACCAACATCACAGTTTCCTCCTAGGTCTTTCAGATTACAAATATGACTTCTAATCATGTTGATCATGGTAATATTTTAATGCAAAACAATTTTGAAATCCTTTTCCATGTATAATAAAGGTGTCTTACCTACATGGGAAAAATGCTAATTAAATATCAAATATATACCTGATTTTCTTCTTTTTTTTTTTTTTTTAAATTTGCCCCCTGTATGCTCCTAGATTGCCATTCATTTTTCAGTTTGTCATGCGGTGGCTTGCCTGTTGCTGAGATGATGGAAGCTATGCCACCAGTAGTTTGAATGCCAGTATTTAAATCCATGATAGGTTTCAGCTGAGCTTCCAGACTAAGATAGACTCAGAAGAAAGAGAGAAACTATGCAAAGGCTTTTGACTATGTGGATCATGACAAGCTAGAAACAATATTGTGGAGCATGAGTGTTCTGGAACACTAGGTTGTGCTCAGGAGGAACCTATACATAGACCAAGAGGCATTCTTTGAATACAATAAGGGGACAATGAATAGTTTAAAATAAAATAAGGTTATGTGCCAGGGTTGTATTGTTTCATCATACTTATTCAATCTGTAAACTGAGCAAAGAATAAAAGAGAACAAAAAATCCTTGTCTCTGGACCAATAAACAACATTCTTATCAATGGAGAAAAGATTGAAGTTGTCAAGGACTTCATTCTTCCTGGATCAATTATCAACACTCATGGAAGCAGCAGTCAGGAAATCAAACGATGTATTACATTAACCAAATCTGCTGCACAAGACCTTTTTAAAGTGTTGAAGAACAAAGATGTCAGCTTGAGGAC